ACTTATGGTCTGCTGATGAGTGTTCCCTGTCTTTAGTCAGAAGTTGCTCTGGATGTGTTGTGGTTCTGAGTGTGGAAGGAACCCAAGTGTTGCAGACCAGTTGGTTGAAGGCATAGGATCAATTTGCACCTGCGCCCCGGCCTGGATTTCTCCGAGGACAGCTGTTGGGTGACTCTCTTAGCTATGTCACTAGCTGTGGCAGAAACTCTGGTTCAGTGCTTATCAGAGTATCTGTCTTTATGTGATATTCAGTAAATTATTAATAAATGAATTGAGAAGATTGTTGAATCTCCCTCATCTGACTACTTTTAAAAATGCAGTCCTTTGTGAAGTTACAACTTTTATAATTCTTAATTTTGCCTTCAGCTCGTTAGAGAGCATCACAGATTAGCCTGCCTCCTAAATCAGAGTGGGCTTACAGATTTCAGACACTCAGATGTGCGAAGAAAGTTGTTCCTTTATTTCCTCTAGCTGTGCTGACCTGCCTCACCTGTCCCTTCTGCGGTGGTGAGAGCTGGCCCTTGACAGCTCACCACATCCCTTACAGTGGGACTGTTTAGTCCGCTCAAGTCTAGCATTGTACCCAGCTAGTTATGCTGTCTCTTCTGTGTATTTCAGTTCTTCAGGTCCTGTCTCTCTCCCCCTCCTCACCAAGAAGGCCCCTGAGAGGGTGAGGGCATACCTGTCTAGAGTGAGGAGCTGCAGGGCCCTGCATTCTCCCTGGTCTCTGGAAGGGGTGCCAGTGCTGCCTGGAGGGAAGGCTGATGCTGAGGATGGTGGAGTTTGCAGGTCTGGAGTGGCCACCGGGCCTCAACATTTGTGCCAGAGGACTGTGCCAGCCCATCAGCCCTCTGCTCCACCCCTCTCTGCAGACTGTCTAGGTTCCCTGCTGCTGCCTACACTTCCAAGTTCCCCTGAATGGCCGTGCTACGGTTCCCTCTTCCATGGTCTGAAAGTCTGCCTTTCCCATCTCTGACCTCTGTCCTTCCTCCCATGAAGCTTCAAGGCATCCTTCCTTATCAGCTTCTGAGTTCTCTTTACGCAGAATATGTGGTAAAACTGATCCAGCTCTCCAGGCTTGGGTCCTGCTATAGTTGAAGAGCTAAAGGAAGTTTTACAAATCTTTTTCTCTCCTGATAATGCCTCATTTTAAGACCACTTTGAAGTTTTCAGGTTCAAAGCCAGTCAATGCACTGTTTATTCTAGACATCACTGGTTCTTGCATCCTAGGGCATGAAGCCTCATGGCTCAGCCTGGGAAGATGAAGGCTAAAGGGAACTGTGATGTAGGAGAGAGAGAAAAACAGCTTAATAATTACAGTTTGTTCCCGTTGCTACATCAGCGTTCTTCCTAAGCTCTCTCTGTAAAAGGACCATCTTTCTCTTGGAACTTTACATGTTAATTCCCCAGGGCAGAAACTCAGTCCTACAGAGTGATGGCAGGTGCTGCCACTCAGTACTTACCAGCTGTAGAGGAGTTACCACTGCTGCTCAAAGTCACTTTTTTTTTCTTCTTGGTTACTTTGGAGCACTTTTTTACCAGTTTTTTTGTTATTTATCTTTACAGATACGCCTCTCCCTTTCCCCCCATTGATCCCCTCTACCCCGCATCCATCCCCCCCAGGCCTTCACCGCACTTCTGTCTGTGTCCATGGGTTATGTATATATGCATATAAGTTCTTTGATTAATCTCTCCCCACCCACTCTCCCACCCCCGCCTTCCCACTGAGATTTGTCAGTCCCATGCTTCTATGTCTCTGGAGCTATTTTGTTCCTCAGTCTGTTTTGTTTATTAGATTCCACATGTGAGTGAGATCCTGTAAAACTGAATCAGGAAGAATCAGAAAACCTGAATAGGCCAATAACAACTGATGAAATCGAAGCAGCAATAAAAAAAACTCCGAGCGGACAAAAGCCCTGGTCCGGAGGGCTTCACAGGGGAGCTTTCTAATTCTTTAAGTTGTAGGGTTAGATAGTTTACTAAAAATGGTTTTTGACTTTTCAGGTAGGCCTGTAGTGCTATGAACTCCCCTCTTAGGACTGCTTTTGCTGTGACTCACAGATTTTGGGTGGTTGTATGTTCATTTTCATTTGTTTCCAGAACGTTTTTCTTTCTTGATCTTATTGGTAACCCATTCATTGTTTAATAGCATATTATTTAGCCTCCATGTGTTTGAATGTTTTTGAGTGTTTTTACTGTAGTTGACTTCTAGTATCATGCCGTTGTGATTTGAGATGCTTGATATGGTTTCAATCTTCTTGAACTTAAAGAGACTTGTTTTGTGTCCTAACATGTGGTCTATCTTTGAGAATGGCCCATGTGCACTTGAGAGGAGTGTATATTCTGCAGCTTTGAGGTGAAGTGTTCTGTAAATGTCAATTAAATACATCTGATCTAGTGTGTCATTTAGTCACTGTTTCTGTATTGACTTTTTGTCTGGAGTTCTATCCAGTGATGTCAGTGGGGTGTTAAAGTCCACAGCTATGACTCTATTGCTGTTGATCTCTCCCTTAAAGTCCTTAAGGTTATTATTGATAGGTCCTTATTTATTGCCATTTTAATTCTTTATTCCTATGTTTCTCTCTCTATTTCTTATTATTACAGCCGTCCCTTTAACATTACCTGCAATGCTGGTTTGGTGGTGTAAACTCATTTAGCCTTTTTTTGTTTGGGAAGCTCTTTATTTCATCATCTATTTTGATGATAGCCTCGATGGATAGAGTAGTCTTGGTTTCAGATCCTTGTTTTGCATTACCTTGAATATGTCATACCATTCCCTTCTGGCCTGTAGTTTCTGATGAGAAGTCAGCTGACAGCCTTATGGGAGCTCCTTTGGGGATAACAGACTGCTTTCTCTTGCTGCCTTTAATATTCTTTCTTTGTCGTGAAATTTTGGCATTTTAATTATGGTATGTCTGGGCGTGGGCCTCTTTGGATTCTTCTTGCTTGGAACTCTCTGTGCCTCCTGAACTTGTGTGCCTTTTTCCTTCACCAGGTTAGGGAAGTTTTCTGACATTATTTTTTCAAACAGGTTCTCTAACCCNGGGAAGTTTTCTGACATTATTTTTTCAAACAGGTTCTCTAACCCTTGCTTACTTTTGACCTCTTCTGACACTCCTATGATGTGAATATTGTTACGTTTCATGTTGTCCCACAGCTCCCTTAGACTGTCCTCCTGTTTTTTAATTGTTTTTTCTTTTTGGATCTCTGATTGAGTGATTTTTTTCCTACCCTGTCTTCTAATTCGCTGATCCAGTCCTCAGCTTCCTCTAATCTGTTTATTCCTTCCAATGTATTATTTATTTCTGCTGTGTCATTCTTAACTTCCTTCATAATTTCCATGTCTTTTCTCATGTTGTTGAACATCCTTACAATCAGTATTCTGTACTCTGTATCTGATAGATTGCTTATCTCCATTTCATTTAGCTCTTTTTCTGGAGTCTTTTGTTCTTTCATTTGGGGCTTGTTTTTTTGCCTCCCCATTTTGGCTGCCCATTTGGGTTTGTTTCTATGTATTAGGTATGTCTGCTAGGACTCTCAGTCTTTTTGGACAGTCTCTGGTACAGGCTAATGTCAGACGCTGTTTGTGACTGGCCCTGACTACCCTATTTGGAGCTTTCAACAACTCTTAGCTTGAGGTCCCCTCTGCTGGGGCTAAGTGCATTTTGACAGGACCAAGTTTCCCACGAAAGTCTGTTTTTCCAAGGCCCAGGTCCAGAAGCAGATCAGGCAAAGGCTCAAAGCACTCTGAAGTCTGCCTCCACCTACAGGCTGATTAATCTGATTCTGTTAATGAGCAGCTGTAGAAACTTCACAGGGTGGGGAACCTGATTGCTATGAGTCTCTTAATGAGCCTCAGGCTGTAGAAACTCCATGGGGTAGGGTGAGGTTTTCCAGCAGTAAGGAGCAATTGCTTCCCTCTCAGGCAAAAGCTGCTCTGAAGATAAATGTCTGCCTCTGCAGTATGGGGGAATGACTTCGCACAGGAATGCAGAGGGGTGCCCTTTGAGCTCTATCTCCAGAGCCCACAACTCTAGATTCTCCTCACACAGCTCTAGTCCACTCTGCTCTCCCTCTGCTGGAGCCCAGGGTGAGTGACTGACTACACACAAAACTCTGTGCATTGGCTCCATAAGAGGGTGCCTGCATTTCCAGCCATCTCTCCCTGGCAGACAGAAACCCTGCTGCTTTTCACAGCCAGATGTTATGTGGGTACCTGTCTCAGTTCTAGTGCTCTGGGCTGAGAAGCCCAGCCTGGGGTTTAGCCCCCAGAGTCCTCAGTGGGAACCCGCCACAGCTGAGATCTCCCTCCAGACCTTCAGCTTCTGCCTGTGGGAGCCCAGCGAGCCCTCTCGCTCCTCTGCACTTCCTACAGGTCTCTATGCGGTCTCCACTTTTCCTCCTTGGTTATGAGGGTGCTCTCCAGCTCGTCTTTTGTTGCAGTTGGTTATTCAGGATGGTTTTTCTATATTTTAGTTGTCATTCCAGTTCGGTCCTGGGAGAGTGTTGGTGTAGCTTCCACTCAGTCTGCCACTATCTTTAATCTCCAAAGTCACAGTCTTAATGTAGAGTGCATGGGTTTCTTTTTAAACGAACTACTTTTTCCCCGCCCTTTCCTGTTGAAAGCTGGTTGACTGTTGTCTTAGTGCCTGGGTTGGTACCTCTGCTAAAATTCAGGAAGTCATTAGTAATTAATGCCCTGCATTGGTTGAAGGACTTCAAAGTTGATAAAGTCGCTGGGCCTTGAATTCTTGGTCTAGAGTGATATCAAAGCAGAACCCCAAATTGGAGCTGCCCAGTAACACGTTGTATGGACAGATGAGTAGCTGATTCACTCAGTTCACAGGTTTTAGAAGTATTGTTGGCCCAGAATTATCTTAATAGAGCTTAAGTAATTTGTAACTTAAAATCAATTACGTTAATAATTATACTTTATTTTTACCCTTTAGTTAGTGAAAAAGCTATGTGACAGTTTGTTTAATTTTTTATTATTGAAATAGATGTGCACTTGGATTTGGAAGAACGCCTAGCAAAATTTATGAAGACAGAAGAAGCCATTATCTACTCGTATGGATTTGCCACCATAGCCAGTGCTATTCCGGCTTACTCTAAGAGAGGGGACATTGTGTTTGTGTAAGTGACCTTTACCTACATTTCCCATCAGTATTCCTTTGGAAGTAATACTGACTCTCTTAAAAAATTCTTTTGTTAGAGGTTCTCTACCTAAAATAATACTGATTTTTTTGTTTTTAAATTCATAGTCACCCCAGCCAAGTAATTCTGCCGAATTTGTGAGACAGTCATTAGAAGGATGAGTACCAGAAGGTGTCAGCACTCACTTATCTTTCATTATGATTTTGTTATTGATATCGAGAAGCCAAGCCTACCATGGAGGAGGCCAACCATCTCCCTCCCCTGTGCAGCTCTGTGGCCATGTGGTATCCTTGTGAGACTGTGGTCACAACCCACTCATTGCCTGGCACAGTCACTCCACTTCTCTGCACCCCACCCCAATCCCTGGTCTCTACTGGTCTTGCTTCATGGCATGTTAACAACATAGAAACCGTGAGTCGAGGCTTCCTTCACTTCCCATGTGCAAATCTGCCCCTCACATGTATGTGCACGGGGTGGGCTGCTGTTCACTGTGGAGAGGAAGGACAGAGAGAAGCAGTCATGGCTGACATAGCCCAGGCAGCTGCCACACTTGTCAGAGGCCTCTAGCCCAAGCTTCTTCATCTTTTGAGTAGACAATTAAATGACCCTTTTAATTTTAAAAATAAATTTACTTCTGCCTTTTCTCTCTCTTTTTTTTAACACCATAGCCAGAACCATCTTTTTAAAAAATGCAAATCTAATCATATCACACGTATAAGAGCTTCTGTTCCTGAAATAACGATGCAGGTCTTTATTTCGACCTTGCATGTTCTAGACTACTTTTTCAAGCTCATTTTATACCATTTTCCCTCAATTCGTTGTGCTGTAACCTCACCAGCCTTAAACACTAGTTTCCTCTCACCTCAGGGCCTTTGCACATGCTAAGTATATTGTTCCTCATCTCACCTGCTTAATTCCTGCTCACCCTGCACATGATATTGCCTCTGCAGGAAAGTCTTCCCTGACCTCTCAGGCCAGGTCAGGACCCCTGCTGCATGTGGAGAAGAGCTTACAGCCTGAGGGCTCTGGTGCCTCATGAATCCAAGGCCACTTGGCCGTCGATGCCTGTCAGAGTCCCTCTGCTCCTCAGGCCTTCTCATGTCCTCATGCATATGCAACCTCCCCCCACTCTCTGCTCATCTTGCTTCAGACTCACTAGAATCCAACAGTTTCTAGTAGTTCATTGCCTTTTAATAGTGCTCAGTAAATACCAGTTCAGTGAGTGAATGAGTGAATGTATAGATCTTTTAAGTCATTGCTCTAAGTATGACATTATGTATAAACATAAGTTATCACATTCTACTCATTATTTTACTAGTTTAGGTATAAAACTTTTACCTTCCTTTAAATCTCTTTATTCTCCTCATTTATAATATAATTGTTTAAGTATTTCCTGTACATACATTGAGAACCACCTCAGACAGTGTTGTAATTTTTCCTTTAACGATCCAGAATAATTTAGAAAACTCAAAAGGAGAAGAAAAGCCATATGTGTTTGTTCATACTTTTTACTTACTATGTTCTTTGTTCCTTCCTGATAATCTAAGATTCTTTCTTTTACTTGTTTTTTCCTATGTGTAGAACTTCCTTTAGTCATTCCTTTAGGGGAGGTCTGGAGAACAGATTTTTAGTTTTCCTTCAGCTGAGAATGTCTTGGTTTCCTCTTCATTCCTAAAGAATATTTTTGCTAGTTATAGAGTTTTTGGTTGACTTTTTCTTTCACCATTTGAAATATATTGTGATACTTTTTTTTGGTCTCCATGGTTTTTTATAAGAAAACTCCTGTCACTCTGTTTTTCTCTTATATGTGTCCTTAACTGGGAATCGAATCTGAGACCTTTTGATGCACAGGCCAGCACTCTAACCACTGAACCACATAGGCCAGGGCTATATGGCCCTTATTAGGTTGAGATATGTTCCCTCTGTTCCTATTTTGCTGAGAGTTTTTGTCATAAATGGGTGCTAGGTTTTGTCAAATGCTTTTCCTGCATCTATTGATATAATCATATGACTTTTTATCCTTCACTTTGTGTATGTGATGTGTCACATTGATTGATTTGTGGATATTTTACCAGCCTCGCATTCTAGGAATGAATCCCAGTATGTCATGGTGAATGATCTTTTTAATGTATTGCTGGATTTGGTTTGCTAGTATTTCGTTGAGGATTTTAGCATCAGTGTTCTTCAGGATATTGGCCTATAATTTTCTTTCTGTGCAGTATCTTTATCTGGTTTTAGAATTAGGATGATGCTGGCCTCATTAAAAGAGTTTGGGAATCTTCCCTCCTCTTGAATTTTTTGGGATAGTTTGAGAAGGATAGGTGTTGTTTCTTCTTTGAATGTCTGGTAAAATTCACCTGTGAAGCCATCTGTTCCAGAAGTTTTGTTTGTTGGAAGTTTTTGGATTACTGCTTCAATTTCACTAATTATAATCTGTTCAGATTTTCTTTTTCTTCTTGATTCAGTTTTGGGAGATTGTATGTTTCTAGGAATTTTTCCATTTCTTCCAGATTTTCCAATTAGTTGGCATATAGTTGTTTGTAGTATTTTCTTTCAATTTTGGCATCAGTTGTCACTTCTCTTTCATTTCTGATTTTATCTTTCATCTCATTTTTTTTCTTCCTGAATCTGGTTAAACGTTTATCAGTCTTATTTATCTTTTCAAAGAACCGCTCTTCGTTTCCTTGGAAACTTTTTTTATTGGCATATAATTGACATACAATATCCTATTAGTTTCAGATACACATTATAGTCTTGATACATATATATGCATATGACATGATCTGCACATAACTCTAATTACCATCTGTCACCATATAAAGTTATCACAGTATTATTGCTATATTCCCTATGTTGTATATCACATCCCCATTGATTCATTTAAATTTTTATAACTGGAAATTTGTACTTCTTAATCTCTTTCTCACCTCTTTTCCCCACGGCCTAACTGCCTACCCTGTCTGGTAATCACAAGTTTGTTTCCTCTATTCATGCGTCTGTTTCTGCTTTGATTGTTTGTTTTTGTGTGTGCGGTGGTGTTTTTTTAGCTCCATATATAAGTGAAATTATATGGTATTTGTCTTTCTCTGACTTATTTCTGATGGGCACTTGGGTTGTTTTCATATCTTCTCTATTGTAAATAATGCTGCAGTGAACATAGGGATGCATATGTTTTTTAAGTTAGTATTTCTGTTTTCTTTGGATAAATATCCAGAAGTAAAATTGCTGGATTGTATGATAGTTCTGTTTTCTATTTTTGGAGGAAATATTTTTATCGTGACTGCTCTAAAATTATCATCAGAAATGCTGACATCTCTGTCACCTCAGTACTGATGTTTGTTAGCTGTTTTCTTTCATTCTGTTTGGAGTCTTCTGGTTCTTGGTATGTCAAATGATAGTTGATTGAAACCTGTTCATTTTCATATTATGTTGTTATAGTTTATGCTTGATTTCAACCAACTGTTTTAATTGACTTTTCTGACACTCTTCCAGCAGGTACAGGGGGCACCGTTGCCTTATTACTGCCAGGTGGAGGTCCCCCTTCAGCCTCTGTTGACACTGAGGTGGGGGTGTTTTTCTCTCCCTCCAATCTCCTGAGCCGCCTCTGATACAGCCCATAGGAAAGAGGGAGGGTGCCCCTAATTGGCGGGTGGGTGGAACTTGGGGCTCTGTACATGGTCTCACTGACACCACAGTTGGGGCCACATGTTACCATCGGCACATATAAAAGTCTCAGCTCCCTTATCCAGCGCTGCCCTGGGTCATGTTGAGGTGCCTTGTTACAACCTCTCAAGGGCCAACGTTTGCTGGTGCAGAGAAGATGGGTGCAGGTTTTCCTGTGGTATGGCTGCCATAGACTATTGTTACTGGCTTCAAACTCTGTTTCCTCTCCCTTTGGCTACAGAACACAGGCTTCTGTTAGAGGTTTTGTGTCAGTGTCTGTGGCATTTCCAGGTAGCCAACTTCATCAGCTCCAAGTCTAGAAAATACAGGAAACTCGTTTCATGTCATTTCTCAGGTCCCTAGCTGGACTGACTTTTCTCTCCACCTTTCAGGCTTCTTATGTTTCTTTTATATGTAGTGTCAGGGGTTTGGTTGTACCTAGTAAAAAAAATATGTCTACTCCATTTTCCCAGAAGTAGAAATCTTTATACTTTTAATTAATACAGCTTACTTTAAAAATACATTTCCTCCTAATTAACCCAGTTTAGAAGAGCTTATGGAAGTTTAATGTGCAAGATTCAGAGTTTACCCCGATTTTACAGAGAGAGTCACCTGTCCAGTATTGCTCCTGTGAGGAGTGTGCGGTCCCAGTCAGATGCTGCTGATGTGAAATGCAGTGTTCTGTGTATTTCTCAGAGAATTGCTGTGAGGGCACTGAGAGCCATCTCTAGTAAGAGGCATGCTGACTTCTGAGGTGAATTCCGGAAGAGTGTGCTGCTTAGAATAGAATCAGTATGGCGGTTCTGTGAGCAGAACTTGTCGAGGGAAGCGCAGACAACAACGTGTAAATGTTCAGGTGTGTTTCACTCATGTCATGTTTACGTCAACAAGTGAACTTTGGTTATCCTGCTAAAGCAAGCATTCCTGTTCTAAGAATAGTGACAAGGCCCTTTAAACCCCAGTTTGGCTGTTCTCTCTTCCTTACAGAGATAGAGCTGCCTGCTTTGCTATTCAGAAAGGATTGCAGGCATCACGCAGTGACATTAAGTTATTTGAGCACAATGACATGGCCGACCTGGAGCGACTGCTAAAAGAACAAGAAATCGAAGATCAAAAGGTATGATTCTTTTCAAGAAGAGGATGCATCTCTTTTGTACTTTCTAACCAGCTGAGTTACGTATGAGGTGGTAATTTGTCATGAGCACTTGCCTGTGGGTCACATTCGGTTATTAAGGGCACTCCTGCTTATTAAACGTACTTCATGTTGTAGAACCAAGTCTGATTGCAGTTGCCTTGTCACTGCCATAATTATGTGGCAGATTTGAGGAAGATAATCGAGCATCTTTCTGAAAGGGGGAGAGAAAACAGTCTGCACTTTGTGGGTGGGGCATGTGCACTTTGGGCTCTACAGAAATAGCTCCAGAACTCACTAGGACGAATGTTGATGAGTTGTCCCTCTTAAATTCAAAATAGAGTCATTCATATCAGAATAATCGTCTATCAAGTGGAAGAAACAACAGCAAATGTATGAACAAAGTGAGACATTGTTCTCCCCACCCCACCTTCACCTGCAGCTCTGAGCAGCTGCTGCCTGAGAGAAACAGCCGCCCCACACTGGGCTTCCTGCCCTTGTGCCTCCCAGTTACACCTTTTCTTCCCTTTGGGGGTGTGGGGCTCATCCTCTGTTCCATTGGAGTGTCACAGAGATGTGACCAGAGCATCACTGTTAGAATGGTCATTTAGTTTCTCCGGATGACGTGGATAGCCATTCTGTGTGGAGCGGGCTAGGAGCCTGGTTGCCACAGCCTGTCTCAGCATCACTTTCAAGAGGACTGCCAGGGCAGCTCCCCCATTGTCGAGTAATGTAAGAGTGCCTGTCATGTCCTTCAATTTTGTGTTAATTTTTGTTTTTCCAAATATTTGCATTATTTCTCTAGGGTTCTGTTGTCTTTGTTTGGTGACAGCTTAAGAACAGTTCTCACTGAGTACACACACTCTGTGATGAACTTTCCTCTGTGCATGTGTTGTAGCTGCACAGCAAGGAAATCTTTACATTGAAAGTGTTCCATTGATGACTTTCTTTCTACTAACCATGAAAGGAGGTCCCTTATTCTGACTTAGTAATAGCATGCTGCAAGGCTGGAGCACTGCCTTGGGAAGGGTGGCCAGTGACCAGTCTGCTGTAGAGTTTATGTTGCCAAGTTAGTGTTGTACACATTTGGAAAGCATCATATTTGGGGGTGAAGCACGCTCACTTCACCAGATTTATTACCTGTAAACTTTTTATGGATAGTAACAAGAAATAAAATTACCTTGAAATTTATTTCCATTTCATAGTTTTTACTTTGTTGCTAATTTATACTATATTTTCCTCCCAAGAGTAGGCTTTCTAAAGTACTCTACCTTTTTGTTTTTAAAAATAATTCCTTTTCAGTTTTATTTTCACATAAATATAAATGTTAAATTTTTGAATATTTTCTACTTAGATGCTTATCTTTGAAAGTGAATTAAAATACTGCATTTTAGTCCAGGTTTGGATCAAATTATTTTAATTCTTTAAAAGTTTTTTGGTTAACTTCCCAAGATGTTTCTCGTTCCTTTACCTACAGGGTTTCCTTGTCCCATATTCTTCTAAAAAAATAAATAAAGGACAGTAGATAAAAACAGCGTTTTATGGAAGAAATACAAATAACTGAGCATGTGAACAATAATCTGGCTTCACTAATAATAGAGAAAGTAGGCTAGCAGTTTTTGCTGTTTAGGGACCATTTTTAATAGTAATAATCAGCTTCTACACTGGTATGTTTGATGAGGCAGAGGCCCTCCTGCAACTCGGAAAGTTCCAGTCGGCACAGCCTTTCCTGAGGGTCAGTGAGCAGATCTGCTCCAGGTTGTGAACCCTCCAACCCTTTGGGGAGCTGTTGTTAGATGATAATTAGAAATGGTGTCAGGTTGAAGGACCTTTATGATCCAGTGTGAAAAAGCAGAGCAAGGGAAGCAGCCTGAATCCAGCATCAGGAGAACTGTTAATCTGTGGGGAACCCACGAAGTGGAATATTATTTCGCCCCTAGAATCATGTTTTAAATAATATTAAGTAATGTGAAAATGCTCCTAACATAGTGTTTTTAAAATTCATGTCCTAAAATATTGCAGTAAAATCCTGATTTGAGCAACTTAATTTATAAAGATGTTTTTTACAAGAAAGACAAGTTATCAGGGTGTGGTGTGACGAACTGTGTTAAATTCTTTTTTGCACTTTTCTATTTCCCAAGAGTTCTACATTGAATACTTTCAAATGCTAAATAAAATACTTCATTTTTAAAAGGCAGGGAGCGGAGAGGTGGGATGGCCCAACGTCCTCATATGGGACCCCAGCAGACATGTGACCTTCGGGTTTGTGTTAGTGACAGTGGAGATAACCAGGCCGACTCAGTGGTGGGCACTTCAGAGTGTTCCAGCCGCAGCTTCCCAAACACCCCTTCCAGTAGAGCTCTGATATTTGAGTTCCTAGTGTTTCTAGTTGTCCATCAGACAGAAGCTCAGAGGCAAGAAACAGTTGAGTGGGAAGGCGGCAGTCAGCTGTCTCTGTGGATCTCAGTGTTTTCAGCCCAGCATACACGAAGCATCTACACATTCGGCAGAGGGACTTGGAGTCACTGGAGTGGGGAAGGTGTGTGTGGTCTGAAAAAGTCCCTCCACACCTCTGATTCCCAGCATCACCGGGTGAGGCCACAGTCAGATTTTCCTTGACCCAGCAGTGAGGAATGAGGGAGGAGAGGGTTTCATCTGTTTTTGGTAAATGAAGTAAAGCAGGTTTCTCTGGTTTTCTAAGGTTTTATGATAGAAAATTGCAGGCACGTTTGAAGGGAGCACAGTAGTATAATGATGCCCTTGTCTCCTCTCCCAGCTTGTTATCAGTGTTTGCTATTCTTCTAGCATCTGAACCACCATCTAATTCCTCACTGCATGTGTGATGAGGATGAACATCATTGTTATAGTTCTTTTTATTGTGGGTAAAATTATAGACACTAAAATGCCCAAATCCTAGCCATATAGTTTTGACCAGTGGTAGACCCAACCCGTGAGTTATGGCCCCTGTCATGACATCAAATATCCTCTCATCCCAGAAAGTTCCCTGGCCCCTTCCCAGTCATTCTCAGCTTTGGAGGGTTGTGTTATAATAGTCTCAGAGTGCTCAGCTGTGTGTGTGTGTGTGTACGCGCGCCTGCCTGCCTGTCTGCCTGCCTGTCTCAGGTCTCCTAGTTGATTGCAGGAACTGAAAAACGTGTCTGAAATGAGAGAGCACTACTTTTCCTCTCATGATAGCATGATTTCAAGCCTGGGCTTGAAATTCATCCACACTGTCCATTTATTTTATTTTGATGAATAAATCTTGTAAGAGATTTTATATTTGGAGTTGCTAAAATTTAAAATGTCTGGGGGTTTTTCTTTTAAAGAATCCCCGGAAGGCCCGTGTAACTCGGCGTTTCATTGTAGCCGAAGGGTTGTATATGAATACTGGAACCATTTGTCCTCTCCCGGAATTGGTAAGCACTCACAGTTACTCATTATTTTAGCATTTGGACTATTTGGAGTTTGCCTTGTGTTTATGACCACTTCTAATGTGGAGCATCTGCCCTGCTCTGCACAGTAGGTATCAGAAGCTCACTCTACTCATACCAGGGAAGTAGGTTAGCATTAATGCCTTTAAAGAGTAATCAAGACTCAACTTTTTAAAACCAGCTTCACTGACGTATAATTCACATATAGTAAAATACAGTTACAGTGTAGAGTCTGATGAGTTTTGTCAGATGTATACACCCCGCCACCACCACCATAGTCACTCCAGAGAGTTCCCTCATGCCCCTTCGTAGTCAGTACACCCAAGTCTGGCCCAAGGCCACCATTGATCTACTTTTCGCTCTTGTAGCTTTGCCTTTCAGAGCTCTGTACAAATAAAATTCTGCGTTATGTATTTTGTAAAACAGCTTTTTAACAGGGAAAGCAATATACTGTTTTTAGAAATCATGACTATTGAGATTTTTAAAAATTGAGGTGAAATTTACATAACATAAAATTAGGGTTTTTTTCAACTTCCAGTATCGATTTTATTTTTCCAGTTTTACTGGAATGGGAATTCATTTTTATAAATACTGAGGAAATTTAAAGAACCTAAGATGAGGCTTAAATAGTATTGAGCACTGTCTTGCTACAGTTAATTGAATCCAAATTCTAGGAAAAGTAAATGATAGTGGAAGTTGATAAAATTAGCTGTTTAAAGTAAACAGTTTAGTGGATTTAGTACATGCACAGTGTGGGTAGCCATCATCTGTCTTGTTCTAAAACCTTCTCATCACTCCCGAAGAAGACCCCTGAGCCCATTAAGCAGTCACTTCCATTTTCCCTCTTCCTTCGCCTGGAACCACCGCCAGCCTGCGTTCTGTGTGGATTTACCTATTCTGGATCTCTCTGTAAAAGGGATCATCCTAATATGTATCATAGAGTAGTCTGCTTGGAGCACATTCCAAGACCCCCAGTGGACGCCTGAAACTGCAGGTAGTATCAAACCCTATGTATACTGTGTTTTTCCTATAAATGCATATGCACGACAAAGATTAATTTACAAATTAGGCACAGTAAAAGATTAACTAATAATAAAATGGAACAGCTGTCACACTATTCCTTATAAAAGCTGCGTGGGTGAGGTCGCTGGTCTTGGCCCCTGCGGACATCCCCGGGAGGCTCAGTGCTTTCTGGTGCAGCACTCGGCCATCGATCAGAACAGGTTCTCTGTTTAAGCCTCCCACCCCAAAATTTGGTGTCTTTTCTGTCTTAACTAAACGCTTACGCACTGTGGCCGTAACTTTTGCAGTTTGAGGCACAGCAGCAAAACCAGCACGGATTTCATTTCCCTCTTCACAGTTTCACAGATAGAAGATTCATTCTTACCATTGACCTTAGCAACCTCAGCATAGGGTGTTTTTCTCTTAAGTCAAGAACTTTCACTTTTTCACCTAAAGGAAGCACTTTCTGGCTCCTCTCTGGTATATCTGAGTTACCCTACAACACAACAACTGCACCCCAGGGCATCTGTCCTGAGAAATGAAGACCTGTGTTCACACAGAAACCTGTGCTTGAGTGTTCAGNGCCAACATCACTACTCTCGCACTTTGGGGCCATGACTAAGTAAAATGGGGGTGACTTGAGCACAAGCACCCTGACACCTCAGCAGTAGTTCTGATAAATGAGGCGACTGCTAAGTGTCCGTGTACTACACACACACACACTGGACAAAGGATGATTCATGTCCTGGGCAAGACGGTGGGGATGGCGCAGAGCTTTGTCACATTACTCAGGGCACAAGTTATTTATTGAATTGTTTATTTCTGAGATTTTCCAGTTAATGTTTTCAGACCACAGTTAACTGTGGGTAATGAGACCACAGAGTGTGCACTAAGCTGAGGGGAGACTACATAATACACGACCTTCGTGTGTGGCTCTGTCCACAAAGCTTCGTGTGCTCATCACTCTCCACGTTGTAGCACGTGTCAGCGGTTCATGCTTTTGTAGTGCTGAGTGATGCTACATTTTGAGGACATACTGCGGTTTGTTTACCTGCTGATGAATATTTGGGTTGCTTTTACCTTTTGGCTATTATGAATAGTGCTGCTATGATCATTTGTGTACGAGTATTTGTTTGAACCCCTGTTTTCAGTTTTTTGTGTGTATATATCTAGCAGTATAATTACTAAGTCACATGGTAGTTTTATGTTTAACTTACTGAGGAACCGCCATACATTTTCCACAGTGGCTGTCCTGTTCTGTTAATATGATACATTACATTGATTGATTTTCCTGTGTTCAACCGCCCTTGCATTTGACCACTGATTTGAATCTATGAGTCTATCAATTGAATAAGGAATTAAAATAAGGGTTTTATATCTTATTTTTAAAGTTTTTACTATGTTTTAAGAAAATACAGATACATCCTAAATATCAATGAAAGAAATGTATTTGTTTACATGAGCGTCAAAGACTGATAGAGTGATGAGGGGAGGCAGCAGGCCAGGCGGTGCTAGAGCCCCATGTTGTAGGACTCGGATCACAGAGCAGTGCCGATGGGCAGTGTGCAGCCCAGCGGGGAGACAGAATGCCTCAAGTGCAGGGCCGCTCAGTGTGTGTCAGTGTTGAGTAGAGAGAGATTACAGGACACAAAATAGGGTTTGTGGGCTTCTGCTTCACCAGGACTGTCGTAATGTCATTAAACATATCCTAAAACATGATGTTTAGAAACTTTCTCATTCATACTAACAGATGGAAAAGACTCAGTGTTGAAAAGATGTGATTCTCCCCAAGTGCATTGATTTTTAATTAAAATCCAGCAAAAGGTCAGTCCGCCCCCCCCAAATTTGATATTGATTAGCAAGATTATCCAATAAAATCTTGATTGAAAAATAATTTGTCGCCCTGGGTGGTGTGGCTCAGTTTGTTGGGCGTCATCCATGCACTTCAGGGCTGCCGGTTTGGTTCCTGCTCAGGGCACGTGCCTGGCTGCACAGTCAACCCCAGTCCAGGCTGGAGTTCGAGGCAGCAGATTGACGTCTCTCTCTCTCCCTCCCTCTCTCTCAAAATCAAGGAAAAGTGTTTGTTTGTTTTAATCCTAACCCAGGGATATGTTTTCATTGATTTTTTTTTTTTAATTTATCTTTATTTTTGAAAGTATTACAGATGTCCCCCTTTTTCCCTATTGACCCCTTC